AATCAAAAGTTGTCCGTTACTCTGGCTCCACAGAGAAACAAACCATTCAGTTTGATAGTAAAGGCGAACCTCTCTATTCATCTGGGTACTTTAAATACATGTGTGAAAACAGAAACCTAGATATCTGTGGGGCTGATTGTGAAGCTCAAGCTGTAGTGGTGGTTAATCAGGCAGGAACACCCCAATTTAAATACACTGGTCATCCCTCTACTACCAAGGAGGAAAAATTCTATCCACATGGAATTACAACAGACAGCCAGAGTCTAATCCTCATAGCAGACTATTATAACAAAAGTGTCCACATCATAGATCAGGATGGGCAGTTCCTCCGTTTCATTAATAAATGTGATCTAGAGAATCCGTGGTCTTTATGTGTAGACACCAGAGACAACCTCTTTGTGGCCGAGAATATGAGTTGTAAAGTTAAGAAAATCAAATACTTGTAAAGATGAAATATAACCATGGAGTAACTGTGTATTATCATGATTGTTTTAACCACCAATAAGTGTAGTGATGATTACATGAACATTTCAATAAACATTTTATGAATGCAATATTAAGATAACAAATATAATCTCGAAAGTCAAATAAAAGCTTTATTAATCAGAAGCAGAGTAAACTCGGACCTCAAAATTTAGCGGTGAGGTTGGGTTCCGTTGAGGAGTGATCATCACCTGCCGACCAGTCACATCCGCTGCATGCTCATTGTCATGATCGAAAAAACCACTTGAAGAAATCGCAGATTATTTAGTGTATGAATAATGGCCGAACAGCGAGTACTAAAAACGTTAATTATACGTTTTACTCAGTGATAGGTTATTTGTGTTGACAAGGTCATAAGTATTTAAAGTGGACGATTGAAATGTCATCACGTTTATCATCATTTTTTGTAAGATAACCATTAACTTCTTCTTCTAGTTAAATATTTACGTATGAAATGTATTTGTCAGAATGTGTGAATATTTCGAGACGAAATATGAATGAAAGTAACTACTGTTAATTGATAATATGTCACCGAAATATAAAAATACCTAGTCGAAGGCCATAACAAATGTTTTTATCTCATGTAGAATTGTTTAAATACATTTTCCGTCATATAAAATACAAAATAGGTCTACGTATAGCGCCGCGAAATTGGTACCTATATTGTTCCAAAACTCTGTAGAAGAAAGTTACAGTAAACCAAGTAATATTCGTGTGCGAGAAACATCCGCAACTTCCGCGACCTACTTTAACCGGCGGATGGTTTTTTTTACTTAAAAATACAGTAAGTTTACCAAAAAGCATATATGTGGAAAGTCGTCCCAATTAATATTGCAATGTTAATTTTTAATGATAGCACAAGTATGACTAAGAATGAAAGCAGCTCTTTAAAAAACACATCCTAAAAACAAATATGAAACCTCTGGACTTGTTTTATAAAATGCATATATAACTTACATACTGAAAAACTCCATGCAACTTTTATAACCCTTGAAGAAAAAAAAAACAAAATTATTTTGTGGTATTTTCAAGATTTAATATTTTTGTATGACTTCAAAGTAAACATTTCCCATATAGACTAGGCCCCGCCTCCTAAATGAAGACTTACCTGTGCTGCTCAATTGCGCTCTCAGCAGACTTAATTCTTTATAAATGTAAACAGAATTAAAAAAAATTACATGAGATGAAGAGAATTGTTATTGTAGTCATCAACTTGATACTTTCATATATAGGATTGTCAATTAATTAAAGCTACTTCCAAAGATACGTCGACTCATATATCCCAGTGAGCTTGAAAAAAAATATAGCAGAGTGTCTGACATATCTTTTTTTATTCTTGGATATTTTACAAGAAAAAATACTGTAATGATTATCTAACAATTAATCATGATAATAAATGTGATAAATTTAATTTCTCAATCGTCAACTTCCCTTTCTTACATGAATATACACGTATAATCTGAATATGGGTTTTATATCTCCTAGTTATTTCGAAACGTAAGAGCTTGTAACTTACACGTACATGTACACGTACACAGTATCTTTCGAAACCTCCCTTTTAACTTTAAATCTGTGTCAAAGAACCTTTAAAGAAATTTATACTTGTTACCAAAATACTGGGTTGTTATCCTTTTCTGTGTCTTCTGTCAGTATCATTTATCATTTGTTCCTATAACAACATCTGGCCTACTTTTAAGTCCATAATTATATTATGTTGCCCTAAAGCCCATTCAATTTTTGTATGTCATCAATGAGAACCGATTTAACATCTTTCTTGTAAGGTTCACGTATAATTATCTCTATTAATCACTTATTCCAGCCTGGTATATAAATTATGTACACAAAAATCTTTCCTCTTAGTCTTACAATAGTCTTGTGTGGACAATTCAAAGTATGCTTTTTGCAATATTATATTAGATATAGACCAAACTTTAAACCTTATATTTGATTTTCCTAATTTTTTTCTGGAAACCTTACACGAAAGGTAACTATAGTTACAATTAATCTTTACGAAACGCAATGGACGAATTGTTTATGTCAAAAACATAAAGTCAATAAAAATATCCTCAAATACGTATCACAAATTAATTGTGATTTTTGGTATTTCGTAATAGTAATCATGCAAAATAAAAAAAAATACCTTAACCCATCTATGATTTCTGTTGTAAAATCTGACACTGAAATGGTACAAAATAAGTGTTGAAATGTAATTACAATGGAAAGTGAAAATGTGTGCTTAAATCAGTCTAAAGAAATTACATATATGAACAATAAAGATATGTGAATTGGGAATGAAATTAAGACCCTTCGATACTAATCTAAAATATAATTTAAAAGGCAGTTTTCAATTGTAAAAAGAAGGCCTAGGAAATAGTATGTAATATTCCAGAATACGGATTTAAGGGCATACTCAACAATGTCTCAAATAAATTAGGATTTTGATAAAAATGGCATTGAAGAATTGAAAGAGATTGTGTGAGGGAAATCCTTCATAGATAATCATTAAAATGCAAATTTTGTTTCTTTTCAAATACCGTGGACATAATTTATTGAACAGCCCTCATACATAATAATCCTTTTTATTTTCATTCATTTCTTATTAAATGTACAAAATATTGGTTATATTTTTTTTGTGTGTTACAATGGCTACGCTTTGTGAAATCATTTATTGATATATGAAGATTAGAATGTCTAACGCACATTCTTTTTGTGTGACATTTTGCCTTTGCGTAGCTTCCTCCATTGTTAAATTTCCAAATGTTGAATACCATGTACGATCCCACTTATGATGTTTTAAAGGACCACGATTGCTTTACTTTTGTTTGTTTTTTTTTAGACAATAAGCTTCAGTAGTGGTGTAACTTTTGTTATCTCCATATATTTTTTCTTTTATTTACATAAAAGAAATACACTATACATTTTAAAAACACTTGTATTTCAGTTATTTTACCTGTAACCTACATTTAAATAAATTTTGTTCTAATAGTGTATTTGGGAATATTGATTTCCTTCACATTTTAAACGAGCAGTGTTTCCCACATTCCTCCGTATTCTATTCAAACCATTACTCAGAAAACAAATTTAACTAACAGTAATGTTTTTAAAAGTTTAAAATTCATCCGACCTTCAGTGTATTAACCAAAAATGTCCCACAGTTACGCTTCTTATTAACATAGTTCGATTAATTCAGGTAGCCTCTGGAATGTTGTTCAGGTCTATCTCACTTTAACGTTATTCTGGAGTACAATTTATGAAACGAAAGTAAATTACCGATGGTAAGTTTTAAATTAAATATAACTATTCTGTAAGTCTTCCTCTAGTATATTTGTCATTTTTAGAAAGTTTTGACGTTTTCTGTCTTAATTTTGTATACTTTGCCTAAAATTGTTGGCTTTTCGTCTGGCTTCAAAAGATCACAAAAATATTTTTATAACTGCTCCTCTATTATTAGACAGAACATGCTCTAATATACTCTGATATATTTTTTTTTTAATCTACATATGATAAAGAACAAGCTAGAACGTAGTTTTACATACTTCACAAACATGTGTATTATAACTATTATAATAAATGTAAACTGTCTCTTAAATTGATATTGAAATTGAAGCTTTTTTGATGAAATGTCTGACTGATGTTTTTATAGAAATGTGTTATATCCTTTTGAGAGGCATTACATCCCTGTCTAATTCTAGGTTTCTGGAAATGTCTTTAAAAACTAAATATACACTGAAACCCGACGTTTCACATTCAAATACAAACACAATTATCTCAACAATATATTTTCTTAAAATCTGATATAGATTTTTATTGATTCTTTTTGTTAGGCAAAGCATATTAGAGTACTTGGACAAGAAAGACCAAGGTGATGGATCTGTGCGTCATCTTATCAGGAATTGGAAGACAAATGTCAGTTATGTTAAATAGGTTTTTAAAATCATCATTTCGAGAAATATTGAGAATGTTTGATGATTTAATGCATTATTCTTTTTTGCTAAAATGAGCTTTTGTTTTGCAATTAAGAAATCAATTTCATTTATAAAGACATATTTATGTCAATCGTCAAAATTTTAACATTTATTGGGATGTAATTTTGTAAGCAAGCATGCATGCTATTAAATGCAAAATATATATGTTAGTAAATGTCAAAAATTAAATCAATGAAATGAGTACTTGAACCTTTAAATCATAGATTTGTCATCTCAAAGGAAATTAAATGATTCAAGTAATAGTTTTCCTTTCTTGGTGATTTCACGGCCGTAGGAACGAGGTGGGGGCACATGGGGGAGGGGGAGTTCATCAAAATAATTTTGACGATATATAGAATCCCATAGAAAAAAACACAACTACTTTATGAAAATGCTTAAATCCCATCCCCCTAATTGAAATTGTTTCCTACGGGCATGAGCCATAAAGCTATAAGAGCTGTTCGAAAATTATTGAAACATTTACTTTTACTTCATAAAGAACATAGATAAATTCATGGAATTCATCAACATCAAACTAAGAAATGATTAAATTTTCTAAGTACTCCGAACGATAGTAGTGTTCTCCCGCCTACCTTCAAGTCCATATGTCAAAAGTTGACATATTCGATGAATTTTAAATTTTTTTTTAAAGATAATCATATCGATTTTCATAAAACATTACTTATTTGGGAAAACAAAGAGAGATTACTTTTGGCAAAACTTGTATAGAAATCAACGGAAATTGGAAAATGTTTTTAAAACATCTCCACCGTGTTACAAAAATCATTTTACAGGTAAGATGGAATGTTATTTCACAAATTTATACCAAAGCGTTTTGTGTGACACGGGGGTGGGGGGGGTGTTATGTTTATTGCCAAAAAACGATAAAAATGCTCATTTTTCACCACTTTCAAAGCGATTTACAACTGAAACATTATATTTTATTGATATATTTATAATTTTTTTATATGCCTAAAACATGAGAAAAGATATACGGAATATTTAATCATATACAAGACTATTTCAGAATATGGGGAAGCTTGAAACTCCGATTTCATTGGAAAATATCGTCTACCTCCATTTTTTTCAAGAGCTGGAATTATGGATCATTTACTTTTAGCGTTGGTATTAATACAGTTCATCAAATTACCACTAAAATGTTTCTTTTTGTATTAAACAAAGATTTTTTAGCGAAATTCGAATATTGAATTAAATGGTATTAAAATGTAGGCGGAAATTGACAGTTATCGTGCGTACATATATTTCTTTAAATGATAATTAGACACGTTCCAGTGAAATAATAATTATGCATAATTCTTATATATGTAACGTCTTTATAGCCCATTTTTTGGCATGTGAATTGAACGATTAGAAACTTTTAATCTTTTTCCCTGTCTATCACAGATAACATTCCACAAAATCTTACTTATTCTTTTCTCAAACAATTCTTTAAAAACATATAATGTGTCCTGTTGATACCCCAGTATAAAAGTTTATATGAAAAGAAAATATTCATTATCACTCAATAATTTCGGAACAACCCTAGTATCATTTGTTTCTTTATATAAACAGGTAGGAGGGAATTCTTGCTTCCAAATGATGCTAAATTACAGTTTATAGACAACAAATTTACGACTCTTGATGATGATTCATTTTCACGTCTATCAGACCAGTCCGATGTACAACTGTTTCTTGATGGAAATCTTCCCGACAAACAAGGTGAGAATAAGACGTGTGTTTAATGGGGCCGACAGGGGTTTTCCTTGCGCATATACAGTTTTTATAGCGTATATACAGTCTTCGATAGTCAAGGGTCATGAAAAAACGGAGTTCTTAAAGAAGGGGTCATAAAAATGTTGTATGAAAAGTTGTAATTATAAAATTTTGAAATTTTATACATAGGGAATTTAGATTCTCTCAATTTTTTTTTTATTAATTTTTTTGCATATATCCTTTGTGTTTGTCGTAGTTTGAAGAAATCCATAAAAACTGTGAGACAGAAGGGTGATATTTCAATACAAATCTTTCCTTGTATTTTTTTAAAAAGGGAAACTGAAGTAAAAGAGTAAAACTCATGATTTCTGAATTATTGAAATCCCATGCAAAAAAAATCATGCAAATTATTTTTCTCACATGCATCTAAAAATGCTAATCGTGACGTAATAACCAAATTATATGGAGATAACGAACAGTATTCAATCTCAAAGTCCATAAAACAATACAAAATAAAAGCAGAGCAAACACGGAACTCCGAAACATCAGAGGTGGGATCAGGTGCCATGGAGGAGTAAGCATCCCCTGCTGACCGGTCACATCCGCCGTATGCTCCTTGTAATGATAAGGAAATAATGGAAAAATCGGTCGTCAATTCAGTGTATAAATAATGGACTAACAATTAGCATGAAAAACGTCAGTCATCATTTGACTCAATGATAAATTGTGTTTGCTGACAAGGTCATTGTATCGACCATAGAACTTACGAAATGATGACTTTAAACGAGACGGCGATTGTTTCACCAACATGAACATTTCCCAATATTTTCTTAAAAAGTTGCAGAAGGCACCAATATTCAATAGAATTTGCTTTCAGATAAAATTGCCCAAAGGCACTGTCAATAAAGATTTTGAGATATGGGGTTTTTCGTTGAATTTTGCACAAAATAGTGTAAGGGTCCAGAGATTTGAAAGATAAGTTTTATTCAGAGTTTTTGAACCTGATTATTGTTGACATTTGTAGGAGAGTTGATATGAATTTTTATGTGTTATAATTACTTCACATTGCAGAGATATGTACTGATTTATGCTTTGCATGTAGTTAATAGGTGATTATTGACAAGTTTAAGTGATTTACATGAGTTGAAATAGTTTGTGCACATGTTTTGAGTTACGTAGAAATCAGCTAATCATAGCAGTAGTAAAGTTGTGGTATTATTTTAGCTTACCTCATATTTCAGGGACTTTAATTGGTCTTCTGTAGTAGATTAACCATACATTTATGGACGGAATCATCTTTGCACAAAGTATAATTACACTGAGGCATAGTTCCGGTCGACTGCTATTAAGTAAAGAGAACTGATGATCTGCAATCAACAAAATATCTTTCATATCAACGGCAAACATGCATTTAAGGAATTAAATAGAAAGAAAATGCAAAAGTCTGTAAAAATGATATTCAAAGGCTGTTTTTAGAACTTTTGAAAGAAGTGTGCTAACTGATGGATTGGAACAAGGACACTTAAAATAGTTGCATGAGCATCTGCTCCTTCTGGGCTATGACGACTATGAATACATGATTCATAAATATTAGCCAGTATAAGAGTAACTGATTTTCACATTTTTTGCAGGATTTTGTTTTACGAGTTTTAACCCTAGGGCAGAAGTGCACGTCAATATTTCATCATTTAATTTAGGGGCAGACCTGCTCTGCAAAACTTTGCCGTTAAAATGTACGCAAACATTGGTGTATTAGCGGACAAAATAGTTATTTGACCAACTTTAGAGGTTACCTTCAAAGTCCAAATAATAAATTTAAAACTCAAAATGCAAATTTGAAAACTTTAGACAAATATACGACAGAAAACAACTTGAGAACTCCAATTTTTAAATGTGACTTTTTTCCGGAAAACAGACTTTTCCTTTAGGTCAAATCTTTTGTTATAACGAATACATCCTTTAGAAGACATGTTATTTATTTTCAGGTATACACATAAGAGTACTTGGACCAACGAGATTGAGACGATGGGTGTGTGCGTCATCTTATCAGGAATTGGAAGACATATGTCTGTGACCTTTGTTAAATTTATTATTTTGAGATATATTAAAATGTTCAATGAAAATTCATCTTTAGATTTTTTTGGACGAAATGAACTTTTGGATTTTAATCAAGAAAAAAGTTATTTGTTGATGTATTTTTTTTTGATCAATCGATGCCATTTTAAACGTTTGTTTGGATGCACATACTTTTATACAACCTACATCTTTATTTCAAGATAGTTACATGTATTAAATGAGTATAAGTACCTTTGAAATCAAAGAGACATCGTTCCCAAGACAAGAAAATGATTCCAGCAAATTCATTATGTGATTGAGTAATTTTGAAGCCTTAAAATGTGATATTTTTCTTAACAGGTAGAACCGAATTCTCGCTTCCAAATGATACTCATATACAATTTATTGATGCCGAAAGTACGCTTCTTAATGAGTATGCATTTTCACTTCTATCAGATCAATCCAATGTTGAAATAATTATCGATGGAAACTTACCGGAAAAGCAAGGTGAGAAAAAAAGTGTATTTGAATACGTGTGGTTGATTGTGTGAAAGTGTGTGAGGGATCTATTCCTTTATTCGCGATGTTTATAATTATGTTTAATTTTCATACAACAAATTCCGACATTGACAAAAAGTACAACAAATATATACGTTGTCTAAATTGTCTTCAGCAGGTCACCTTCTGACTTTATTGACTGTTCTGCAGACCGCGTTACTACCTGAGAAGGTGGAACGTTTATACTTTCCTGTTTAGAACAATCTACATTAAAAGAAATTTCAATAACTAATGACTATTTGTAATCTTTTCAAAATTAGAGAGTTCTAATTACTAATTAGAATCATATTTTCTATCGAAAAAAAATACGTAAATTTTTTGTTCACCAACAGTGGCGCAATCTTATTCCTAGGGGGGTATGTACGGATTTGATTTCTTTTCTTATCAATAATAAACTTGACTTATATATTGAAGCCAGTTTCGAAACTTTCTGAAAACAATAAATTTTAGGGCATGATAAAAATAAAACCATACTTTCTTTCTTCATTAATTATAACATTTTTAGATTCCCTCTCCAGAAACAAGACGGTAGAATTTTGTGTTTCATATAATGTACAGTATAGCAATACTCATCATCCATTATATATTTATTATAAGGTATTTGTACAATTAGTATCTATGCATTTATTTTGAGAGGGTCTCTTAAAAATAACTAGAGAGCAGATATTCCTTTAATTTGGCAGTACAATGAAGTCAATGTAAGCTAAATATGATATAAAATTAAAAAGTTCCTCCATTGCATTTTACACATAAGAAAATCCAAGTCGTCTCCTTTAAATAGGTGTGCATGTATGTGGATAATTGTGTTTTGGATTTGAGTGCATCATGCTGCAATCATATGTTCTTGATTAGAAATGACAACTCCCCACTTTGTCTATCAAGAAATTACAATACAAATTCTTGAACTAAATCGAAGATCATAGAAATAAGAAATTTTGAAAATATTCAAAAAGGAGCAAAGAACACTTATGGCAAGATGTATATACTCTTATGAAACTTTTGTCGAGTAAATCTTACACAAAGTGAATAAGAAAGAAAATGCAAAAGTCTGTAAAAATAATATTCAAAGGCTGTTTTTACGTGTAGAACTTTTGAAAGAAGTGTGCTAACTGATGGATTGGAACAAGGACACTAAAAATAGTTGCATGTCGGATTGAGCATCTGCTCTTCTGGGCTATGACGACCATGAATACATGATTCATAAATATTAGCCAGTATAACAGTAACTGATTTTCACATTTTTTTCAGGATTTTGTTTTACGAGTTTTGACCCTAGGGCAGAAGTGCACGTCAAGATTTCATCATTTAATTTAGAGGCAGACCTGCTCTGCAAAAACTCTGGCGCCAAAATTTATGCAAAAATTGGTGTATAAGCGTACAAAATGCTAATTTGACCAACTTAAGAGGTCACCTTCAAGGTCCAAATAATAAATTTAAAGCTCAAAATGCAAATTTGAAAACTTTAGACAAATATACGACAGAAAACAAATTGAAAAGTTTGATTTTTAAATGTGACTGTTTCTTTAGGTCAAATCTTTTGTTATAACGAGTACATCCTTTAGAAAACATGTTATTTATTTTCAGGTATACACATAAGAGTACTTGGACCAACGAGATTGAGACGATGGGTGTGTGCGTCATCTTATCAGGAATTGGAAGACATATGTTTGTGACCTTTGTTAAATTTATTATTTTGAGATATATTAAAATGTTCAATGAAAATTCATCTTTAGATTTTTTTGGACGAAATGAACTTTTGGATTTTAATCAAGAAAAAAGTTATTTGTTGATGTATTTTTTTTTTTGATCAATCGATGCCATTTTAAACGTTTGTTTGGATGCACATACTTTTATACAACCTTCATCTTTATTTCAAGATAGTTACATGTATTAAATGAGTATAAGTACCTTTGAAATCAAAGAGACATCGTTCCCAAGAAAAGAAAATGATTCCAGCAAATTCATTATGTGATTGAGTAATTTTGAAGCCTTAAAATGTGATATTTTTCTTAACAGGTAGAACCGAATTCTCGCTTCCAAATGATACTCAAATACAATTTATGGACGCCGAAAATACGCTTCTTAATGAGTATGCATTTTCACTTCTATCAGACCAATCCAATGTTGAAATAATTATCGATGGAAACTTCCCAGACAAGCAAGGTGAGAAAAAAATAAATGTATTTGAATACGTGTGATTGATTGTGTGAAAGTGTGTGAGGGTTGCGATATTTATAAGTTTTAGGTTACGACAAATTCCGACGTTGACAAAAGTACAACACAAATCTACGTAGTTTTTTTGAATACCTTAGAATCAGTTATCAGAAAATGTAGAGTTATATACGTTTTAAGTTTTGTCCGTTACAATATATTGTTCAAAATTAACATAATTTGTTTAACAACAAAAGCTACAAAAAATATTTTTAATTAAAATATTGAGAATGAACGCTCTATACAGATGTCAAATTATAATTATTTATCATCCTGCAAGGAAAGTAATGTCTCTATTTGAATAAACCCATCGCATGACAGAGTCGCTACTTTAAGATTGATCACAAGGGATGTGTCAAGAAAATCATGTAAGCCCTTTGGGATATACAACTAACCTTTATCTTGGATGGCAAATGTCTTCTTCTTAAGAATACTTATCTTTTGGTGTAATCAGTACCAACCATCCTCTTTGTAATGACATATATTAATTAACCTTTTATCAATACTCGAAGTAAAAATGCAACGTATCCATTTGTCTACGATTTCCTGCGGACATACTTGAGAATAAATAGGCAATTTAGCCACATATGATCCACATTTGCATTACCTTTTATATGAGGATCATATGTGGATCATATGAGAATTATATGTAAATACAATCATATGTGGATCATATAAATGCACATATGTAAATCATATAAAGTGATTTACGTATGATTCACATATGAAAGGCCTTATATATATACTATTTTTGATTTGTCTTCATCAATACAAATGGAAAAAATTAATTATTAAAAAGAGATTTATTGTTTAGTAATTACATGCAACGATGTTTTTAGTAACACTTTGTGGAATGTATTAATGTCTCATTACATATTATTGTCTCAAATCATTTAATATTTTAAAATTATATGTTTATACAGGGTTTTTATATTTATAAATAATCATGAAAAATATATTCTATATATAAAAGTAAATTTTAGATATACAAGTACTTGGGCCCAAAAGACAGAGACGATGGGTGTGTGCGTCATCTTATCAAGAATTGGAAGAAAAATGTCAGTAACCTCAATTTCATAGGTTTTTCAATTGTTATTTTAATAATCATTTAGAATTTGCAAAATATCCCTACTTTAATTCTTTCTCTTTTTGGCTGAAATGAGCATTTGTCTTAATCTAGTTTATAAAGATAATTTTTTGACTATTGATGAAATTCTAAAAGAGATTAACTAGATGCAGCAAATGAGAAACTAGAAAATGGGCACCTGTATCTTGGTAATCAAGAATTCATTAACACCAAGGAAAAAAATGATTCAACAAATATATTTTTATTTCTATCATATGTATACATGAGGTATAATTTAGTTTTCTTTAAATAAACAGGTAGACATGAAATACCGCTTCCAAATGATACTAAAATACAGTTTATAGACGCCGAAAATACGCTTCTTGATGAGTATGCATTTTCACTTCTATCAGACCAATCCACAGTAAAAATATTTCTCGATGGAAATCTTCCCGACCAAGAAGGTGAGAATAAAGTCACAGGTAAATAAATAAGTGTATTTGAATAGTTGTGCTCGATTGTTTGAAAGTGTGTGAGGGATTTGTGCGTATAGCGTAAATGTTTAAAGTAACATATGAACAATTTTTACTTTATCAAAAAATACCTACAACACAAATCCATGCACAATGTAGTAGGTTTGAAGACCATGGAAAGCTATTTTTAGGTTACTGAGTAAACTCAGGTGACATATTGCTATCTGTTTTCGTCCATCATCTTCCGTCGTGCTTCGTGTGTTAAATTTGAACATTTTTAGTTTCTTCTCTGAAACCACTCCACTAATTTCCACCAAATTTGGCATAAAGCATCTATGGACAAACGGAAACAAAAATCGTGAATTCCATGGTCCCTGTCCCCCTGGGGCCTGAGGGGTTTGGCCAAACCTCTAAAATTAATGCAAATTTTAAAAATCTTCTTTACTCCTGGACATCAAGCAGTCAAACTGTTAGCATGAATGTAAGGACCATTGAATCCCCACCAAAATTGTGTAATTCATGACCCCAGAGTCACGGGGTTTAAGTGCTAGGGCGCCGCTCTATTGATTATAAAGTGAAAATACATTTTTTCTTTGAAAATTCTCTTCTCTGCTCATGGATATTAGATAAACTAAATGTTTTATAGTTTTAAGGAGCACGAGTGCCTCTTCCAAAATTGTGAATTTTATGGACCAGGGTCAGTGGTTCTGGTGTTAGGGCGGGGCTCTACTGAATGATTATATAGTGAAAATACATTATTTCTTTGAAAATTTTCTTCTCTGCTCCTGGGTATTAAATAAACTAACTAAGTATATTGCTATGATAAGGAAGAATGCTTCTTTCAATTTTGTGATTTTAATGTTTCCAGGGTCAGGGGTTCTGGTGTAAGGGCAAGGCTCTATTGATTTTATTGAGAAAATGCAGAAGTTCTCAGAAAAACTTCTTTTCTTTTACTGGGTATTAAACAAATTAACTTGGTATACAGTTATGATGAGCAAGAATGTGTCTTGCTAAATTGTGAATTTTATGGCCCCAGGGTAAGGGGTTCTGGTGTTAGGGCGGGGCTCGATTAATTATATAGTGAAAATACATTAAATGAAAGTTTTCTTCTATGTTCCTACATATTAAGCAAATGAACTATCTATACAGATATGATGAGCAACAATGGCCATCCATTCTGAATTGTGAATTTCAAGACCCACGGGTCAGCTGGGTCAGGGGTACCATGTGGATTTGGGTTCTACTTATAATTATATCTGAAAATGAACTAAATGTTTGAAATCTGCTCCTTGGTATTCATTATTTGATAAGCATGGGTGCCGTTTCTAAAATTGTAAAAAGTGTGGACCAAAAATCAGGGGTTCATGTGGCACTACTGATTATAATATAACTAATTAGTCGAAATATATTTTTTAGTTCCCCTACTTTGTCCATGGATTTGAAGTAACCAATGAAAGCGTGCAACGTATATAGTTGTTAAGTAATGGTGTTTCTTTCAACATTGTGAATGCCATGACGTCTAGTTTAATACATGAACCAAATTCAATCGTTAGAAGGTTGTTGCATGATGCTCAGGTGACCTATAAGGCCTATTGACCTCTTGTTTAAAACATGCAAGAATTTCACAATACATGTACAGTGGAGCCTCATTTATCCGGACGCCAACTCATTTTTTTTCGGAAATGTGAAGAGTCCGGATATTTGAATTACCATTTAGGCAAGAAAAAATAACATTGAAAATTATGTTCCTATGAAATATCGTCCGGATACTGAAGCATCCGGATATCTGAAGGTCCATTTTATGTGATTATACAGATATACAGATTAAACATGACATACTAGTATGATACATAATGAGGATATTACAAATTGTTTTGTTGGCCATATTTGGGTATATTCAAAATTTCCCCCCGTAAAACAAAGTTCAAAATGAATGGAAATGCAACTGTAAGCTAAATAATTGTACATTTGAATGCAAATATTCATACTAGTAATAAATTGTTGATTTGAGGTGACTGATTGGGGTTTCAATGGCGCAATACTTTGCGCGTCATAGTAAAAAAAATCGTTTTTACAGTGGCTGCAACATGTGTTTTATTGTTGACAAATCAAGCGTGTAGAAATGTTCGTGTAACGTGCGAGATTGTGCGTGTATCAGACTATATCGGTTGCAGTTTTAATCGTGTGTGATCATGCGTTAAGCAAGTGTAAGTTTCGTTTTGTAACTTTTATTGGAATGTTTTTGTTTAATATGCGTTTTGCTTGTATTTTTTAAAACTTCAAATTTGAAATAAACTGAGCGCAACTTACTTAATTAAGAGTGAAAAAACTAATTATCGTTGTGGTATATGTACATGTAAGTAATAATATTAATCTTTTATTCAGGTAAAGGCATTTTGTAATGTACATGAACATTGAGGTGTGAGTATGATACAATATAAAAATTATAAATATATATAATTTAAGAGATAAGTTATAAAACAAGTTTACTAAATGTTATTTTTATTTAATTCAAAAAAATATATTATATTGTATAAATATGCCTAAACCGAAGGATAACCCATGAATGCCAGTATGGCTTATTTCCAATGCGGTCCTTATACATATAACAAAATTAGTAGCATATGACATATATAATATACTTACTTAAAAAATAAATAGTATACTAGCTATAAACAAGATGAATTAAAAATTAATCATGCGTATTATGCAATAGCATTTAAAACCTGAGTACTTAATTGTATATGAAGAAAGAACATTTAAGTTAAAAATCTAATGGTATAAAAATCATCTTTGGCATCTTTCTTAAGTTTCTCCATAAAATGTTTTTCGACCTCTTTTTGAATTTTGTTTTACTTGTTATTGCTTTAATATGGTCAGGTAGAGAATTCCAATCTTTGATTCCATTATCAAAAAAATGTTTGACTCTCCATTTTTGAACCCTTGGCACAAAAAATTAAACTGACTTGACCTTGTACACTTTTTTGTATCATTTTGATTAAAATTACACTGCATATAATTTTGACTTTTATTATGAAAATATTGTCATCAGCTGAAAAACTACTTTTAATGTTCAAAAACCCCAATTTTTCAAATTCAAAAACAGTGACTCTTGATCTAGGTGAAACATCAAGTATATACTTGATGTTTCACCCAGATCTTGTTCTGTACAATTTGAAGTCTATTTTTTAATTTTATAGATAGTCCTTCATACCAACTAGTAATAACATAATCAATCTGACACTGAATTAAAGCAGCACACAATGATTTTCTTGATTGCATTGACAAACATGACTTTTGTCTAATTAAAAATTTAAGTCTTTGTTTTGTTTTGCTAATAATAGTTTCCAGAAATTTTTCACCAGATAGTATATTGTCTAAAAAAAAACTCTTAAATATTTAACACAATTTTGACACTCAATTTTGATACCATCATATACAAATGAAAAAGTGCTCATATCATATGCCTTCAATTTTCTAGGGGGTCCAAATAAAATACTTTCTGTCTTTCCTAAATGTAGAGAAAGTTTATTGGACTTTTGCGAAGACACTGACTTTTACAGTTGACGGCTTACTTTTACACCTGGAAAACATACGAGAGCTCTTTTGTGAAACAAATCTTGATCTTAACATTCAACAAAACGATAATAAAGGGATATTTCAAAGATCATATCACTTTGTCTATGAAGGAAAAAGCAACATTCCAACCCTCAACACCCTCCATTCCAGTCTTGACTAACTGCTGCCGAGTTTTCCTACCGAAATATCTTCTTCTTTATTTCATTTCTTAAGTTATTGAAAATAAAAGGACATTTTAACTAGAGCCGAGCTCGTTGCAAAGCAACGAGTAGGTCTTCCGTCCTGCTTGACCGGAAGTAACTTTAACTTGAGAAAAAAAAAGAGTAATGAAGTCGAAAAATGGTTTAATCCTCCAAATCTATGTTAATTTTTGCAAAATCAAGCCATTTTTGGCAATTTCCGGTTTGACCGGAGTAACAACGACGGACGGAAAATTAAGATTTAAGCTTCCAGTGACACATGATATCCAAAACCTGTCAAAAACAACAAAAATATGCAATTTTTGACTACTTCCGGTTTGACCGGAAGTAACGTCTCCGGACGTATTTTGACAACCTCATTAGATAAAGACTGACATTTTGAACAACTTTGCTTCTTTGACGTATTATAAATTCTCAATACTTTTTGAGATACAACAAAAATTAGCAATTTTTGACTACTTCCGGTTTGACCGGAAGTAACGTTCCCGGACGTATTTTGCCAACCTCATTAGATAAAGCTTGACATTTTGAACAACTTTGCTTATTTGACGTATTATAAATTCTCAATACTTTTCGAGATATCAAACAAAAACTTTCAAGGGCCCTAGATCCCTTATTTTAGGGGCCAGCCCCTTTTAAATGATATCAAATGAAAGCGCTTGTAATTATGCACAACTTTTATTCTACATGTCTTAACAAAATATTTTTAGTTTTCAAGATAAAAAGGAAAATATCTGTAAATTTTCGCTCTTTTAGGCGTTCTAATTTTTGACCCCTATATAGCGCCATTTTGAATGCAGAAATTGAAAAACAAAAACCGATGTGCACAACTTCAATCATTCTGTTATCTAAAACAAGTAAAATTTCTGCTCCAGCTTTAGTGGTCTCTGAGCCTTTATCCGGAAACGAAAGCCTATGATTTTTCGTTTAAAGGGGAATAACTCAAAACCGGAAGTTACTTTTTGAAATTTTAGTCATTATTCTGATAGAATTTATAAACGTCTATAACCTCTGAAAATTTGAGCGAAATCCGTTGAGAAATGAGTGAGATATGAGGCCTCAAAATTGGCGTCTAGGAAGTAGAAGAAAAAAAAGAAGAACTAGATAAGATCTCGTTGCGAGCAACGAGTGGGTCTTCCGTCCGATTCTTGATGAGATGAGATAAGATTTTGAATGAGATTTCCATTCTTCAATAATGATTAAGGT